TTCTCTTATCTCTCCCTCTGTTTCTCTTACATATACACATATTTATATATATTATATATATATAGATATATACTCTTTGCTTGGTGTGCCACACTTTAAACGGAACGTCTGATCGGCGAAATCCTCCGACGGCTGGGGACTTGGGGGGGTGTGCGGAGGATGGCTGCGAAGAGAAGGAGACTCCCGTTTCGTAGATTCAACGCTAGTAGTAAATTTGTTTAACATTAGGTACTAATTCTCTCCCCTCTCTTTCATTAAGTGGCTTACAATTCGTACAACTCGCCTATCATGTAAAACTATGACGTCTAAGATGTCCGAATTAACGCTAGATCTCGATAATAATCAGATCGGATAAATTAATAGTTGTAACTGTGTATGTATCAACTAGGCTAGACTTCGACGGAAAAATATATTTATAAAAAGTTATAATATATATCATATATTAATATACGTTTCAAGCGTTCTATATATATATATGTATTTATATATATATTCATTTATTCATTTATATATATATTTATATATTTATATATTTATATACGTATGTATCATTACTAATCTTCTACTTAACTCTAAGCTTCCACATCCTCGCGAATCGCATCTCACGCATACTTCATCTTCTACCCGATCTCCTCTCGAACCGAGGGGACCCATCGTGTCGTTCCTAGGTTCCTCTCTGTTTCAATTTATAAGTAACTGGCTTAACTTCTCGCCTCGTTAAATGTACAGACAAGTAACTCGGGATTCGAGGGATTGAAATGAAATAATGCATGAAACATCGTTACGTCTCCCGCGACACTCGTTAAACAGCGCAAAGAATCACGCGAAGCCTATATAATCGAACAACGTTCCTCCCACACGACCCCCGTTTAATAACAATGCCGGACAAACGAATTCATTTACACCGAGTCGAAAGTCGCTCTAATCGACTACATTCGCTCGCGTCATTGTCTTGGATGGAATCCGTTCCTTATTGGCTTAAACAACATGAACGTCACGAGCTCCTTGAACACGTTTATACAAATCTTCGTTTTTTTACTTATTTTCCTTTTATTAAAGCATCAACGCTCGATAATAATATTGTAAGCTTATTAGACTTCTTTTTTTTTTTGAACACCGAGCTACCGCTACACCTCTCACTCTCACTCTCTCCCTTTCTCCCGCTCTCTCTTGCTCACACATTCACGCACCATACGTACGCATATTCTCTCTCTCTCTCTCTCTCTTGCTCGCTCGCTCGCTCTCCATTGAAAAATACTTCATGGTGCACGATCGCCCTGTTTTTCATGCATTACTTGATTCCAACGTGTAGTACAATACTACGATCTTAATATCGCGAGTGTCTTCCAACTATAGTGTGTCGTTAACATGATTATTAAAACTCGCTAATAAGGTGAACATCCTTACACGTCTGCCTCTCTTACGCTCCGTATCGCGTGTGCACGCACGTGTTTTGTGTATAACCGTGTCCGAGTCTGTGTGCAAGGGGGGCCCACCTCTTCCTATCGTTAATGAATACCGTTTTGTGCGTCTTCTAACGATTAACCATCACAATGATCAACGGTGCCTAGTTTACAATTAATATCTTTGGTATCACGCCTGAGTTTTCCGTTTACGAAAAAAAAATCACTAAACAATATTATATATAGAATCTTGTTCGGGTACGGGTACGCGAGCCGCTCGTCGTATCAAACTTAGAAAAAGATTCGTCCTTCGCGCGACGCGAAACAAGCGATTCGAAATGCTACTTACAACTCCCGAGGGACAATTAAATGCACGACAAGGAATGTCGGATTGATTACATGGCAGCTTCAAACCACGTGGAAAGTACAACCACGGCGAGTGATGATGTTTCCGCTATCGCTACTTGTTTCAAGCACAAAATATCGGTTTTGTCTTAAAGTCTACGCCGCGTGGCAGTTTGAGATAAATTTCCACGTTTTATTCGAGTATCGTTTGACAGTCAAGGGGATAGCCAGATAGGTATCCTTTAAATGATCGCTTTCCATCTCCTACGAATTCGCGCTGATTCACGAGGACTATTCGATTACGTTACTAATAGAGTTAACAATTCGCTTCGATAAACTTTCGTTGGTTCTCTAACGAAAGTGGTAATGTTGTAAAAATGTAATAAAGAATAATTTGTGCTTGGAATAGTCTCCACATACTTAAGTGTCTTAAGTGATAATAAAAAGGTTCCATCCAAATTCTCGAGAAAAAAAGGATATTTCCCGTCCGCGTCGATCATAAAAACTGTTGTAAAAAAAATAAATGCATCGATGCTCGCCCCTGGGGGATCCTTTTCAGTCTTACCGTTTGAGGGACAATTTTTCGGCGAGCTCTAGGGGTGTATCTTAACAATGAAGTGAAAAAAGTTAACGATTAGAAAAGAAAAGGTAATAGAATCTATGAAAGAGTTTTTACAACCTGTAGTATGTATCCGTGTACTTGTGTGCGTGTCAGAGTTCAGGTTCGATTGTTCACAAAATTCCACGATCGGTGAAAGACAATTTGCTGGAATGTTTAGCTTTTTCGCGATGCCGTAGAATTGCGGGAGACAGAGACGTCAGAAATGAACGTTCCACCGTGACGCACGGCTGGAGATACGCGTGAAATGGATAGAAAAGAAAGTCGTACAGAAAATACCTACAAAGCGCGCAGCGACGAATTCTTGTGAACAAAAGACCATGAGATTTCCATTACCACGTGCGTCCGTCTCGTCTCTCAGATCCGTCGAGAGAGCCCGATGAGTGAGAAAGCCCTCCCCGCATTTCTCTCGTCCCTTCGACGATCAGAGAGCGCATCTCGTCTCATATAGAATATATCACATACATGTTTACTTCTCTAAACACACTGAAATAAGAAGCACTTTAAGATAGATGTCTACATACACCATCGGGCTCAGGTTTAGATGGACTGATTCTCGTCTTCGTTTCCAATCCTCCCGTGTCTTTGTAACTCCTAACTGATGTATATGCTTTTTTCTGTCTATATGTATTATGTACATATAAGCGCTGTGCCTCTCACTTTTCCTCCTGCTCTCTTTCTCTCTCCATTACGTATATGTGCAGGCGTCGAGAACGCGCGTCTCTCCGAAGCATACACAGAACTAGAACTGACATTTGCATACGAGAAACTAGAAAGTACTTAATATCGTCTTGAATGACTATTTCAAGGTATCCTAAAAATAGACAGCAGCGAGATCGATGTCAGTTGGCTGCTGACGCGGATACATCGATTAACGTATTCTTAAATCATGCAATATAGCAATCTCCACGATTTTATGCATAATTTAAACGTTTGTTTAAAATATTACAATAAAACTGAATAAGAATAATATTTCATCAAAATGTGAAAATGCATAAATTTATACGGACATTTTATTTTACAATGAAAATTTTTAAATGCTGTTTCACGTTCGAGTAACTCTCCAAACAATCTTCACGTGTGGCGTTAATAAACACTTTGTACAATATAATATATTAAAAATCTAAATAAAAAGAAGATAAATTATGAAAGAAATGACACGCGAAACACAAAAATATAAATACAAAGACACAAAGACGTTATTATGTACAGTTAATTAATGCATTCCGTATGATCCATTTGGTCGATCGCGAAAAAACATTCGGCCAACAATGCCGATCATCGTGATCGTCTTCAATTTCGAGGCACGCAGCAGTGTTACGTGGTCTATAATGGCACTATCAATCACTCGTATTAAATATTACAACGTTAGAAAAATTGCGTGTTTCGAGTTTGCGGATAGTCTCCTTTAATTGACTTTATGAAAAAAGCCTTGTCGTAATACTATGCTGTGTAGCTTTACAATACACCGACCTCGATACTAATTGTCAATTAATAAAATAGTGGAGATTACGACATTCTGTTGCGAAACCATCGCGCAACGTTCGCACTATTTTGTCAATCGAGCCTAATCACCAAAGTTCACTCGAGTTTTTACACAATTCGAGCATCGATAATCGTAGAATCTGCTCTCTCCCTATATTCTACATGCTCATTCTTTTGCGCTATTAGTGCTAAAGATCTACGATAACCGATAATCGCTACGCTACAATGTTGCGTTCGCCTTATTTACTCTTGAAAATGTGATAAACGAGCTAAATGATGATCGTAACGTCTACCGAAACATTTCTGGCTGGAATGTCGTTCCTACGAGTATTACGAAATGCTACATTATAACGCTGCGACGATTCGCGAATAGGCAACCTGCGAAGAAGCTGCTCTATGCACAACTACCTTGACTCGACGTTTCCCAATGCTCGTGACGAACAATTCCGATTTCACAATTTGGAAAACCTTTGATCGATTCCACAAACGCACGACAACATCTAGACTCGATCGACGTAAAACTCTAACATCCTAATTTTTCATTACGACTAAAGCAACATTAGCGTCGAAACGAAAGTCACGCGTGAAATAAGAGGCTTGAGGATCAAAGGCAAAAAAGAAAAGTATCGCGGCATCCATCGAAGTACTGCGAGATCTCTGGCCTGGATTCTCCTCTCGATTAGTCGCTCCATTTATCTTGGAATAACGCGCTAGGACTGTGGAACGCGCCCTTTCTCTCTCTCTCTCATCCCCTCGCATCGCCGAGCCGAAAGTACAGTACGACAGTGATCGCGATGGCGACGGCGATGACGATGACGACGATGACGATGATGGCGACGACGATGACGACGGTAACGACTATGATCGATAGATGAAGCTGCAGGGTGGCGTTGGCGGCGGCGGTGGCTGCTGGCCGCTCATGGTCGGTACGAGGGTGGGCGAGGGTGACGAGGAGGGAGGGGACGGGGAACTCGATGACACGCTCGACGATGGCGAGGGCGATTCCAGTGCCCTTGGGCCGGCGAGCTCACGATTTGACTGTCCCCCGGACGTCACAGCGCGACTACTCCTGCTGGCCGTCGTCGCGTTGTGGCGATTGCGCGCTGGCCGTCCTAGGCTCCGGTGACGGCCACCCCCCTCCTCGCTCGTTTCTCAGAGATAAACCTTCTTGACACTGCGCGTGGTCGCAAAGCCGTCGTTGCGGCGATACGCGTCGCCCTGATGGGAACGAAGGGTGCCGAAGTTGTCGCCGCGGGGGCCCCCGCGGAAACCGTAGCCGTCTGGGAACTGAAAGAGGGTCTCCGTGGGCGTGGGCGGTGGTTTCCTCATGGTACCTTTCGGGGATTGAAGCTTCGGCGGTTGCGGGACCAACACCGGCTCTGCGTAGGTCACCTCCTCCTGCGGTAGCAGCTTCGGCTCGGGCGCCAGCCTGCTGAATGTTGATAGGCAAACATTACTAAGAGCGGCAAATGGTAAAAAGTCATCCTTTCCGCCGAGTCCGTTTGTCCATTGAAGCAAATGTATTTACCTGTTGACGTTTTGGCGTTGCTCGAAGTATTCGTATTCCGTGTCCGGATATGGTAGATTGTCATCCTCGTCTTTCCTGCACTTTCTGCCGCACAAGTAACCGGCCACAAAGCCGACGAACAATGCGGCTAGCGCGCCCGCTACCACGGCCATTACCAGGGTCTCCACCGAGTATTGCGGTGGAGGCGTGTCAGCCGCGGATACTTCTGGACCTGAGAATGATAATATCAATTACACTTGCGACAACGCAAAACGATAGTAATTCGACTTGACTGTCGTAAGCAGCTTACCTGAGCTATCTCGTTCCTCGTCCTGCATGATATTGATAATCTCGCCGCCGGGACTGTCCTTGTTCGGTATGGAGTCCTGCGGGAACTTGTTCTGATTAGCGGAAATCGCGCCGACGCTGCCGGCGTCCTTGTTGAGACTCTTGCTCGCCGGGCAGGACGTGTGCACGCCGGTCGCGACGCTTTGCAGGAACCTGTTAGCATCTGTCGACGCCGGGCCGACCAAGGCTCTGCACTTGTTCTCCACTTTGTCCCAGGCGCAGTACGGGTCTTGCAGGGCAACACACTCGCTGCACGACAGTATCCTGTCGCTGTAGCAACGGTGGAGCCTCAGCGCCTGTACCTGGCTGTCAGCGATGACGACCAATCGGCCGTCCTCGAGGCCGTCGCCCGCCTGCGAAGCTCGGACGACCTTGATGCCGCGAACCGGCACCGTCGGCGGAAACGCCTGTATCTCCTCTATCACGACCGGGCTGACCTTTTGATGAGAATCCGCGGACTCTGCGTTCACCGCCTTGATCACCTTGCCGTTATCCGTGCCGATAAAGAGGACGTCGTAGGTCTTGCCGCCCGGGGTCTTCACTTGAGGATCCACGGCAATCTGAGTGAATCTGTAACTAGACATTGGTGGGATCACGTTATTGAAGCCTCTCGATCTGTACCGTCGACGAGTGAATTTGCATGTTATGACTCGCTTGCGCTGCGTTTCGCTGTATGAAAAAAGGATCGGCGGGAAAAGTAAAAAGCGTCAACGTGTAGGACGTACAGTAACGTAAACTGCACCTCGCATCGATGCAAAACACGCGACGCGACGATGCGCGATGAAAGCTCTAAAGCGCGCGTATAGTTTGCGTTCAATTTGGATTTCGGCTCGCGGCCGAAATCTCCTGGCTCTCGAGCGATTTTCACTTACTGGAAACTGGTGCGTATAACGATCGGCTGGCCGAAAAAGCTCGGCACCGACTCGTCCATCAGCGAGTGCGTGTTGATGAAGTTGAGCGTCAGGTCCGGCAGTGTGCGTGAGTCATTGGTGCATTGGCCGGGCCGCGGGTCCGGCACCTTCGCGTCCTGCACCGGCAGCCAGTTGGAATTGAGGGCGCCCTGCTCCTTGAAATTACCGCCGAAGGTGTCGGCGATGTCCTGCAGCGAAAACGCGCACACCGCCGACCCGCTTATACTGTTCACCGGCGTCGTGAAGGTACCGTAGATAAGCTGGGCCGACGTGCCACCGTACTGGCCAGATATCAGCTCGGTCGTCGACTCTGCGATCGAGACAGATTCTTAAATTCGGGGAATGTGTACTCGGGAATCGCGACGATACGATTAATCCCGCAGCTAGTGGACGCATTTGCGCTTCCAGGGATACTCGTACTCGTACGCTGATACTCACGAGAGAAGATTCGCAACTCGGAAATTCACAAAATTATGAAACCTTAGCTAATGCACAGGAGATGTCCTGATATACTAGGCTATTTGTCCTGAAGGGATCAAATCAAATGGAAGTTTATTTTATATCTGGAAGATGACCTATTTTTTTTACATGTTCATTTATTTGTGTATAGGAATATCGAGAATATGTTCCTTCTGCTTTTGTTTATATATTTTATAGAATTCTTTAAACAATCGATAAATCTCACTAAAAGAAATCGTATAAAATTTCCCCTATAAAATTTTGTTCTATTTTCTCTCATCGCTGAAAAACAAAAACGAAAGACGGGTTATCCCTTCAGGGTAAATTCAAACAACAACAAAAATAGCTCGCTACATATCAGACCATCCTCTAGGTATCGTCAGAGTTTCATAATTTTTTGAATTTCCGAGTTAAAAAGCTTTCCTTAGGGGTTTCAGAATCACCAGTTAACTGTTAACCAGTAGTTAGCCGACTTCCCATCTTTTTCTATACATATTATCTAAGAAGTGACAGAGAATCGATTAACCCCCAGTTGATAGGTAACGTTTGTGCAACTGACTAGTAGAAGAAGTTTTCTCTTATAAGTAACTTGAAGATCAAAATTCTAACATCGAAATATCGTGATACTTTAAGCTGTAAATTAAATATTTTCAATCCACCTGTATAATATAAACGATAAAACATCCGGTGGCTCTAAAAGACGTAGACGTATCCTCGTCGATGCAATATATAAAATATCACAAAAAGACTATTTTTTCGATCGTTAAGGGATTTTGGGAAAACAGATGCGAGTCCAATATTTACTCATAATCAGACTGGGTGGTACAGTCATAGTATAACTAGTGTTCACTCCGTCATTTGTTTGGTTTTGCGTCAATCCCTTCTGCGCATCCGCTATCTTCGTGACTAGACCAGGGGCTCGATCATGAATATTTTTCTCTAGCGTAAACTCGTGAAAAGCGAAAAATTTCATTAACGAATTTGTCAACAAAAATTTTCACTTTTCACGAGTTCACGCTTGAGGAAAAGATTCATGACTGAGTCTCTGGCCAGACCAATGAGAAAAAAGTATGTATGGTAGTGTAGTTTGGTGAGTACGTTTACACACACACGCCGCTGGATTTGCACCAACGACATGGCGGGATACCACGTGATCGGGACCGCAAAGATCAAAGGGCCCGACAGAGAGTGGACCTACTAGTTATACTACGCCTTCGCTTATGCATAATGAATAGTTATGACATCGTCAACTTCCATATACAATGTGTAGCAATATCACGGTAGTAGTTCAAAAGCAGTGGTAACACAAGGTTAGTCCTTTTAATCAGAATCTGGTCAGCAAAGAGCAATTTTTGATTGGACGTTCTACTTCTGGCAACTCCAGAAAGAAACAAAGAGAAAGCGGAAAAAGAAACGGAAAGAGAAGGAAAGAGAAAGAAAAAGGTAGAAATAGCGAACGTATAGCCCTCTCTCTCCCAGAATTTTGCCAGAACTAGTCTGTTGGCCTGACTATAGAGACTCCACTAGTTCTCATTCAGAATCTAAATTCCTAAACTTATTTATAAAAAAAAAACAGTGTCGCGTCCATTCCGATTGTTCTACTCGTGGGGACGCGCACCATGTCGACTTACGTATTTCGTTAAAGTAGAATGGGAAGTCGCCGGTGACGGAGCAATTGAGACGCGACTTCAGGAACGACGTCCACCTGTTACGAAAACGATGCGGTCCGCCCCGGTCGTATTTACAGACTCGCGCCACGCGAGAGTAGACGGCCTGCAAAACGCGAAAATTGCGTGTCGTAAATTTTTCATCGTCGGAGAGAGCGTAAGGCGAGAAAATTTTATTTTCCTCTCCTCCCGCCTCCGAAAAAATGCACCACGGGGGAAAAAGGGCGAGAGCGGATGAATGAGGAAATCGAGTTCCAGCTTTTACGCGCGCTATTAAAGTGACACGCACGTTTCCGGAGCGGCGCGAAGCGCCGCATAAAGATCGCGCAAAACTTCCTGCGCGGAGCAGCCTGTGCGAGATTGTGCCGTGACTTGGAGGGAAAAAAAGCGCGATTTGCAAAGAGTACACCGTGGAATATACCGCGCGGTAAAGAGGATAAAACGGGCGCGCGGTGATTTACAGGCGAATTTATCGCGACCTGTAATTAAAATAGAACTCGCGAGCGTGTACTCGAGCGAGTGAACGAATATAAAACGGAGAAAACGGAACCGAGCTCTCTCTCACGCGCGCGATTTCGAAGATCCGCACGGAATGATTTATTGTTGCCCCGCCGAGATTATAAATTTATTCCGGGTCGCATAAAATTTCTCCGCGACGTTCCTCGCCCGCGGGAGGAGCAGCCGCAATCTTTATCCATAATACCGCGTCCCAACTTTTTCCCCCCGTTCCCGGCTTTATCCTTCGCTCGCCATAAAATTATGCGTCATTATCAGAGGGCAACGGGAGATCCCGGCTCCGCCTTTGACAATAAGTCGAGCCTCAGCCTGAGCTTCGGTCCACAATGAATCCCGACGCTCCGTACGGCTCTAGGCTGCCGCGGGGCACAGAGACCTTCGTTCTCTACGCGTGTAACGGGAAAGGGGGGGAGAGGGCGGGTGACGAGCTTCTGAAAGCTCGATCTTCAATGCAAAACGACGGGAAACGAAGGAAATCGTAATCGCCTTACTGCCGCCGTTAAAAAATGTTGAGGGGAAAGGGAGGAAAGTAAGAATACGCGTGTGGCTGTGGACCTTCGAAACTTTTTCGCGCGTATTATCCGCGTCCGACCCGGCGAAACTTAATCTCATCCGACGCAATTCTTCCACTCTATTGTTATCCGTTGGCCGTGCGCTAATTCGCCGAGCCAAATATTGCGACGGGACTTTCATAGTCGCGAGCCGGGCTTTTGTCGTGCAAATTTCGCGATTCGCGGCGCGAAAGCGCGCCGGAGTATTAAATCTTAGGCGCGAAAGTGACGTGGCGGAACTAATGCCGTTTGAACGAGCGCTGCCGCTCTTGATCGATCGGTCGATTTTTATCGCCGGGCGCCCGCGCATGTTCAAATCTCGATACTTTCGACAGACGGGTGTTCACGACGATCCGATAATTACGCGAACGCGCGCTACGCGAGATTCCTCCCTCTCGTAAAATCCACGTGGGTGATATATAGCGGCGATTAATCGCCGGCGATTCCTTACCTTGCCGCAATTGATATATTCTACGGCGGTCTCCCTGAAGAAGAAGTAGACGAAGTCTCCCTGGGACATGGAGCTCACGAAGTTCGGTGCTGCAATTAGAATGTGTAGCCATTATTACTAACTGCGCTATCGCCAGTTTTCGCGGGGCGCGCGCGCGCGCGTCTGCGCGCAGCGCGGCGATAGTAAATGGCGCCATAAATTCTCCTTATAAATAAATGAACGTAATAACCACCTACTGGAACGCAATCGATGGTGTGTAATAAAGCAGACAACGCTCATGCGGCGCCTGGGAAAATACGGGGCGGAAAATCTCGCCGCCGATTTATTTAAAAACTTCCATTTCCACTCGACGTCGCGCGATGAGCATTAATTCTCCTGGGCGTTCGAGCGGCTCAAAAAGTTAAGGCAACCGAGAGGCGCCCGGTTATTTACGTTAACAAACGTTCCCCTTAATTGTGCCATTAATTTCGACAAACGCGGTAATTAATTGGGCGCAGTTACCGGCGATTAAGTGCGTCAAGACACTTACGTTGACAAACGGCGCATTAGGCCCGATTATTAACGCTCGAAAATTACGTACGACTGTTGATGATCGTTTCGAATCTGCGAGGATGCGGCAGGACGCGAAATCGAACCGCGGCGGTTCGCCACTCGAAGGATTCAACGTCGGCGAAAAGTACACCCCGCGCAACTGCGATCGCCGATAATAAGTCGGCCACGTGTACAAGGGGCCCTTTTATTTTCTGTTTTCAACGCCGTTGCCCGGTAAAACGCGCGGTTCCGCCGCGCCGTCCCGGTCGACCGCCCGATAAAGTGGGAAAACTTTATCGATTTATTAACTTGACAGGGTTTTCATAAGCTTCTTAGGATTCATAAAGTAATATTAATCTCGCCATGCCACGTAGGTATATATCCGAACGACCCGTCGCTCTCCGCCCCATAAATTCTCCTCGTTTTACCCAACCCCTTAGCGAGAGAGCTCCTTCAGCTCTCCTATCCCTTTCTCTCTCTCTCTCTCTCTCCCTCCCTCTATCTGTCGTCGCCGGCTCGCTTCCTTCCTTCCTTCCTTCCTTCCTCCCTTCGTCCTTTCCACCTCGCGTCCCACGTCGCGTTTAACTGCACCACCGCCGAGACAAAGTGCCGCGGAAAATTCGCGGCGAGGACTGGCGGGACCCTTTCCCCGAAAGGGAAACACTTCCGCTGGCCCTCCTCTCCCGAGTTTCGCCTTCCCTGATCTCCCACCGCGGCCGATTAGAGAAAAATGCTTCTCCCGGACGAGCGCGGTCCTCCGTCCCCAAGATTTTCGATTCGCGATCCGCCGAGGGTGCCGGAGGAGCGCCGACAGGATGGAATTGAATTTTCGACGGACGGAGAGAAAATCAATATTGTCCAACGGGTGGAGAAACTTGATTAGTGCTCTCTCGTACACCATTCAATTAAAATACCCCGGGTGGACCGGGAGGCCCCCCGCTGTCTCCGCCTCGAGCAAAGTGACGTATCAATTTTAACGCCGTGACGACGAAGACGGTACTTTGAAGTTTCGCATAATACACCGGGTGCGACGTCGAGAAAACCGGTTTTTAATTTATTAAATCTACAAAGGGTCCATGCGCGACGTATATGAGCGGCAATGTTGGGCGAACAAAGAACTCATCGATAACCGTGGAAATCGTATAGCGTGTATCAACATGTTTCAAAAAGCGCGATAAAAATCTGTTATGTCTACAGCGTTAATTAAAATCGTGTTTAAATTTCGTTAAATGGAAGAGGGGCAAAAAAAACCGTGCGGTGTATTTTCACATATTTCGAATGTAGCCAAATAAAAAATATGAAATCGCGGAAAAATTCGGGAAACGCCGAATGGAATAGAATCCAATTTGGTCGGACATGAGTTAAACAATAGCGACATTTTGTCAGTTAAAAATCACGCAGTTGCCCGACCTCCGGCGATATCGCGGCTCCTGCCGCAGACGTTGCCTGCAACGTTACGACGCAACGTGGCGAGTTTCGAGCCGATGAGCACGGCGCTGCTCCGTCGCGTTATACCAGTCCGGAAGATCCGCGGAATAATCTTGAGAGCAAGTACGACGGCATGGAGAGGGCGAGAGCTTAGAGAACCACGTACACGCACGGTTAATCCCGGAATTACACCGTGTGGATTAAGGGCACCCTCTCCCCATCCCCGGAGGGGAACACGGTCGCGGCTCCGATCGCGCGACATTTCTGCGAATAATTTTCCCGGGGCGCTCGGATTTTCAAAGTCGACCCGGCGCGCACCGACCGAAACTTGGTGCGCAAATCGAACTCGTAGTTGAACTTTAATGGACACGGGTGTGTATTATGCGGGACCTGCCGCGCGATTTTCAAACATTCAGACACGTGTTTGTCCCAGGCGCGGCGGCGACCGCCTTCCGCTCCCGGAGAGGGATCACGTTTTGACGGCGGCGTAACGAGGTCGATAATGGACAATAATTATGTCGCGCCGGAATATTAATAGGATAATTTCAGAAGTTGGTAAGCGCGGTAAAGCGACGTGATTAAAGTTGCGCGTGAGAACGATAATAGCCTGGGTGGCAACCTGGCGAACCACCAGGTGAAATATAAACGACGCCGCGAAAAGTTTGGCGCAATTCCGTTCATTCGGGAGCCGCCCTTCCCTCCGTATGGCACTCCGGTCCGGCTTATTGATCATTTTTATTTAATATCGAATCACCCACCGGTCCACCTCCACATTCTCAACTTTTCTTATTCGATTCTCCGGATAATGCGAATCCCGGGGTAAACTTTCTTCCGTAAACTTCCGCGGATACTTTCGATAAATGCGACTATTGTCTTATTGTTAAGAAACGGAGGAGTTCGCAAAGCGCCGGGACTGAGAGCCGATACAGAAACGCAAACTTTCAAGAGATACAAATAACGGGTCTCTCCCCCCCCCCTCTCTCTCTCTGTCTCGCTACAGCTCCTCGCAATTAGAAAGTAACGATTGAATTAATCGGATCTCCGGTTATAAGCTATCTATCGCATCCAATTAGCTCGGTCTAATTGCGATCCGATCTCTCGTGACTCTTAGAATCACTATTTGCAGAGAAACCGTCCTCGATGCTATACCTCGGCGGAACTAGGAATAATAAACAAGTAAAATAAACTAATTCAAGCGTTTCCAGAGTAAACATTTCATCTTGTAGCTCCGAGAGAGCCGGAGCACTTTGCAAAATAACGTCAGAAATTATTAAATGCCTTTTGAAATAACATCTGTACACATTTGAGATATCCCGCGCTTGGTAATCTACGGCTCGCCGCGATAATGATAATTTACAACTCGCCGCGATGAAAATTAATATTCCGAGTTTCGATCATTAACTACCGACTTCAAACCGCACTTGTCGCCATGTCGAATTAATGGCAAAAGCGCGCGGCGAAAATGAAAATTGATATCCCGGAGTTGCGATCGAAGTTAACCGCCGACTTTCAATGTAAATCAGCAGAACGCGATCATTAAGCGTCATCAATCACCCGCGGCGAGAATTGACGATTGGATTTAGCCTCCTCACTCACCGTTCAGACTCATCGAGTCGTACTGCTCGGTCTGCAGCGGCTCCCTGTAGATTATCGGGTCCATGCCCGCGAAATCGGCGACCGTGCCGGTGTAGAGTTCACCGTCGACGTAGACGAAGGTGCTGTTGTGCTGCGGGTCGTACGGGCACCTCGCCTGGCCGCCCTTCTCCTTCACGTTCGTGTAGTTGCCCGCGTGTACCGTGTAATCACGGCACATGGGCTTGAAGGCGTTGGTGGCGCACACAAAAAGGTTGTTCGCCCCGGTCTTCACCAGGATGCGAATATAGTTCTGGCAGTTCTCCTCGGGCGTGCCTTTGACGACGCACATCTTCACGTCGTTCTCCGTCGAGTACCAGGTCAGCCTCTGCTGCTCCGTCAGGTCGGTCAGACTGAGATTATGCACGAGATTTCTGAAACGAGGATCACATACGGCGCTCCCGTTAAAAAGTGAAGATTCTTTGGCGTGCAAGATAGCTAAATAGCCACGCGTCGAACTTTCGTGACGAGAGAGTGCGATACGATCTCTACTCAACAAATTCTCGCGACGAAAACCTGCTCTCTCTCAGAAATCTTCTTTAAACTCTAAACCGTGGTCACTGGTATGTTTCGCATGCATCTAGGAAGCGGAAGGATTCTGACGTACGTTGGATGAAGGAAAGAGTTGTTCAAGTTGCAAAGTTAGATACTAAAGTAGACATCAACGGAGCGAAGCGAGACTGTCTGGTTAGCACGGGTTTAGCTGGAAAAGCGGCGTTTGTGAAGTTTCGGCAGTCGATCGTTAACTCTTCTTCATTAAGCGCACCGCCGTATGCTTAGAAGCACTTTAAAGGGGAAGAATCCCTCCGTGTTCGCTGCTGCGCGTCGCGCCGATCGCGGGACGATCACCGAGGCATTCCCGACGTAACGAGCAAGAAACCGATTTTTCGATCACCGACAGCGTGCACGCGGCGGCGATTGTAATGGTGATGGCGGCGGAGCTCGGCAAATCGGCCGAGCAATTAGTGTAATCCGATCAATAACGAACGAGCCTGGATATATATCAGAGTTCATTCACGCACAATGCGTTTAATCCGTGTACGACCTGATTATCGCCGCTTCTGCCGACTGATTTCAGCGCTGGTACAGCGCGCATTCAGCGCACACGAAACGTGAATAGATTTATCTGCGTGCATGACCGAGAATCCGAGGGAGAAGGAGGGAAAAAAAGAAGAACGCGCGGCGCTAATCGATCGACCGGGAGTGCGCAATCAAATTGTTTGAATACGTCCCCTAATGACGAATCCAAAGCCCGCATTTATATAGACATACAATTTATATATTGAGATTTGTATCTGCAATCACTTTACATTGCATTTGTTCTTAATACGATATTGTAGAGGTAGGTTTGTCCTCCTTCATAGACAAACTGCGTGCTTGTAGGAAATTTTACAATAGGGCTCGATATACGTGGAAATCGTGTTGCAAAATGCGATTTTTGGACAATATTACGTACAATAAAGACGCGAGTTTAACTCACGCATGGCCCGTAGGTAATCGATTCAACACGGTCCAACAGTCGTGATAATGTGACATCTATTATTGTGTTTGACATGATTAATTATCTCATCACGGAACATAGCCGCGGTATATAATAATTTTTGTTTATGTATATTGAACAAAATTGATTGTGCATTAGCCTTTAATAAACAGAACGGCGTAAATTGCCACGTGTTATTATATTAAAAGATATTTTTCGAGATCCAAATGTTCATTTGGCGAGAATATCCGATCTGATACTTCCCTACAATGAATATTATAGAATGAAATTATGATACAACTTGGAGCAATATACAATGTTGATTAATAATGCATTTTGAAGGTTGTGTACGGTTGTGATGCGATTAGCAGTATCGTTGTCAAACAGGAAATTCATAATTATTTAACGATATTCCAATGAGTCCATGGCAATGCACACATAATTAATTTCTACGATTAAAATGATCATTACCTCTGTTACCAAAGTCCATACATTCCGGAATAACGTATCTCGTTCGCGATCGATGCATAATTTAACGATCGAAATTAAAAATGCGCACTCTTGGACGGGCGGAGATTTCGCGAATGTCTCTCGCATGCCGCCGCACACGGAGTACGTCGGCCGAATTCCGGATCGACTTCGGCAGGCAGGGAGGGTCGTACGGACCGGATTAAAAAATACTCGTCAACGAGTATTCAATTTACGCGATAAGATGAGTTTCCACGTGTATATATACACACACACACACAAAAAGATATATATGTGGAAGGAATTACACGATTTTCGATCTATCTTGTGATCATCGTCGATCTCAGGCGCTCGAGCAGACAGCGGCGCAATGATACGTCGGAAGATGGATGGGCGGGAGGGCCAAGAGGAGACTCGGGAGCGAGGAGAGACCAAGAGGAAGAGGAATAAGAAGTGGAAGAAGAAGAAGCGACCCTTTAATTAAAGCACTAGCTCCAAATGAATCCTCTATTTACCTTCCGCCGACCAGAAGATAGTTCCCGTCCCTGAGCACCAGCCGAAAGTAGTCTGTGTGCGTCTCGTTTCCCGTAAACCTGAACACATCCTCCGCACCTGGAAAAGAAAAGCAGAGGGAGGGTTTCGGATTAGTTTTTGTTCTATCGCTTGAAAAGTGGAATTACCTTATTCTATCTAATTAGCCGTCGACGGCCATCGACATTGCTCTTTTGTGACAGCCGACGACGGTTCGTCTCCTTCCCTTCCTGCTACCCTCCCTGTCGCCGCGAAGGGTCGGAAGTCGGTTTTAATAAGCGTAATAATAAGCTTTCTTTTGACCGCGGACCCGATGAACAATGCTGATCGATCATTAGAGAACCAACTGCGTGAATAGTCTACCTTAACTTCGCCAGCTGGTTAAAAAAAGGAGACGTCTCTATTGTCCGTTAATTATCCATAATTCGCAAACAGCGATTGGAGGAGCATTGACGCAATGACACGTGCTGCTATTTCGTCACAATTAATATCAGTTTAAATCTCCCGAATCTCCCACAGCGTTCTTTCGGACAACGAAACAGTCATATTCAACATCTGCGATGCGACCCGTTAATGAACGCCTCACTGGGTCCCCGAGTGTAATAAGCAGAAATTTCCGGGGCAATCAATGCCGATCGCGGCAATCTCGGATACGGTGCATGCAATTCGGGACATATGCATAAATTGCATTGCCACACTGACGACGTGCGGCACATGCCGTATGCGAGGAAGCAATATGAGCTTATTAAATATTAGCGCGCCACGTGTGACACACGAAAAGAAATATACTTCTCAATAACGATGTTCTCTGCGATAACAATAAATAGGTCGCAGCAGCGACAAACAGTCGTTTAACATGGTTTCCCACCGCGTCTCTCAACATTTCTCCTCGCTCATCAAAAAAATTTCCTAAAGTGACACGAAATTTGTTATATTTGTTCCAAAGTTTTCTAATGTCGGTGGCATCAGGATCATCGATCTTCGACCCAATCTCTTGTGCGCAAACGTAGACGTGTAACTGCCATTTATTCTATAAATATCAATCGAAAGCTCTCGTCGACCACGAGAGTCCAGCGTCATTGATTGATCGATGCGGGAACAGGCGGTATAATTAAAAGAGTAATTATCAGACGATCCCATATCCTGATGTCACTCAATGGAGATGATCGGAATTGTACATCCGGCGACTGCGATTCAGGCCAGAGATAGTGATGCACTTAGTGCATCCAATCGCAACAGCAACGAGCAATGGGAACAACGATTAAACGGTCCGCGTAAAGAAACGGCTGTTCACTCTTTGGAACGGAAATATTCCTATTTACATCCCAATTAGCTGCAACGAAGCGAGTTATTCGTAGTTTTACCGCGGGGATTGACTGGAAGAAAAAGCAGCTTCATCGATACGCGGCAAAATCGAACGCGAAGCATATACTTATTTGAATCGTTTGTCGGGCGGACTGGGAGAGAATTTTGAATGCGCTATAATTTGAAAAGCGCTGCAACACAAACATAAATGGTTATATAATCTAGCTAATTGCGCCATATTTAAATGTAATTAAACGTCCGCATTTGAACCTCACTTATTGGAATGCGTATAATAATTATTCTGGGCTTTGCACATTCAACTGCCACTCAATGTCAACCACTGAACCACCCTCTACCTGATTTATGTAATTCGAGTCACGGATATACGTACATATATATGTACGTGGCAAGTAACCACTCGGCTACTGATCATATAGTCACAAATATTTGTTAAATACATTCAAAGTGAGCCAATCGACCATTCCGAACGTTATTTAACAAACATTTGTAATTGACATTTTTAATCGTTATCTACCACTATACATGCTATATGCGTGCACAAGCTCGCAACTATATTTTCTATAAAAACATTTGTATACCGGACGCTGCGTGTAGGAAACATTTTCTATGTATTTTCTGGATGGGTACATTAAAATCTTTCAACTTCGACGATCGGTTATCATCGGGCACATCGATACCAATCGATTTCGACGACTGTAGAGGGGGTGCGCCCTCGCATTGCAGTGCATGCAATTTGGGTCAGGTATAGACAAGCAACACGGCGGTAACAGAGGCACTGCCAACGAACGGATGCAATGCTGAAGCAGGCTATTATCGAAAGCATCATACGTCTTGCCGTAGAAACGAATTAACGTTACGTTGTCGAGCGTTACATTCGTGCCACTCGCCGCGGCGCGGGAGAGACCTTTCGCGAAAGAGAGAGAGAGAGAGAGAAGTCAAATGGATGAACATCTAACTGATATGGAGAGACTGAGGCGAGGGTGACGTGTACGTAGGAAGAGAGCGAGAGGAGTGGACGCGAGATGGATCGACGGATAGCTGGATAGAGGCGTCCACCGCCTATCCTCTTTCTCTGATTGCCTTCGAAATTAAACGGGCCGAGTGTGTGCTCCGTAACTTCCATCAACTCCGAAGCTCACTCAGTTATCGCTTTCCAAAATTAGCCGTTCGATCCTAGTCGCGTGTCGCGCGCAAGGTTGGAGCCGAAGAAGGGCAACTCGAGGGGTGAGAAGGGGACGGCTTTCAGGGATCTCGTTTTGCAACGTGCATTTTCCACGAACGGATAAATAATTAGCCACGGCGAGGAAAAAGTCCGTAAGACCGCCTGACGCGATATTATTAAGCATCGAGGATTAAGCGGGACTTTAGACTCTCCCGAATATCAATTGTATCGCGATCACAATTTCCCTTCCTGTCCATGAAATACTTATCAACTCGTCACCTAATTACCCTCGCATATTCTTGATATATTAAATGAGGTACTAGGAATCAGGGTTGGGAAAGTTACTTTACAAAAGTATCTAATTACAGTTACAGTTTTTTCGCTAAAAATGTAACTAGTTACAGTTACAAGTTACTAATTCTGAAAAGTAATGCGTTACAGTTACTCAAAAAGTAACGAATCGTTACTTTGCAATTACTTTCTTGCAATGAAAATAAAAATATTAAATCTGTAGTTGAATTATAATATAAAGTGTTGATAAAGCCCGGATAGCACAAAGTATTGGCGTAGTATTGGGAATGTAAATGCAATACAGTGCAATTATTGATACGAAACATTGGCGTTACATTAGCCTTTATTCTATATTCACTAATACAATTTTATTGGGCAATCTTGCTATACAGTCTAATATAGTTTGCCAGTCAATTTTTATATTTAGCAGTTATACATATAATTTATACATCAGAATTTTAATTTTTATTCCATTGCCGTGTGTAAGTTTCATGATAAAGGCATACATATTCAGCTTAGACATCTGCGGTATGCGAAACGAAAAAGTTTGGTTTTTGGTTCATCTCGCTACGTCGATTTTTCGCCGAGTTATAGCGTTTTAAAAATCGGGCGCGCGCGCACCATTCATGAAAGAAGGCCGCGCGAATTTTACGCGAGTAGTACTACGTCCCCAAAAAACTGGCATCAAAACATACGAGGAACACCTGTTCGTAGTAAACATCGTCGCGCGATACGCCGCGCGAGACGCCGCGCGAGACGCCGCATATACGCGCCGTCTGCTGCTTCTGAATGAAGATTAAGATCGCGAGTCGATATAAACGTAAATAACTTCGCACAAAAAAATCGTAGGAAGATGGTCCTGGTTTCGTTGGAAAGCTAAGATTTCAGCGCTTCTAACGAGATAAGAATGGCTCATCTCGGATTATTAGTTTATGAGTTATCGTTTAATATTTCTGAAAATAAAATTGATTTTCTTCCGAGATCGAGATCGCGAGCCAATATAATCGTCAAAATCGTCGCACAGAAAAATCGTAGCAAGATGATCTTGGTCTCGTTGGAAAGCTAAGATTTCAGCGCTTCTAACGAGATAAGAATGGCTCATCTCGGATTATTAGTTTATGAGGCATTATTGATAAATTCCGAGAAAATTGATTTTGTCCCAAGATCGAGAGTGCGAATTAATCTTTCGATTGGATGAATCTCTCTCACGTCGTGCATTAAATAGCAACACTAATTTATGTTCATTCGATATTCATTTTTCTATATATACACATATGTAATTGCACAGTTTCTTGTTGATAATCCCCTCCTCGGGTACTACCTTGTCGTGGTGGAGGGGCTTAAGTACCCTGAAGGGTTATTCTCTAAAAATCACTCAGTGGTTTATTACTGAAAACAATGAATATTCACTGATTTACAGTAATGATGCACTGATTAATTTTTAGAGA